CAGTGGCGTTCGTCCGATGCTTGCCAACGTTGAAGTTAGCATTTTTCCTTGCTCCACGTGTAAGCATGGGCAGTCACAAAATATGTGAGCTAAAATTTCGCGCACTTGGCAGTGCTAATAATGCGGGCTGTCCGCACGGCCGGTTAGTTTGGTTGAGTGACGAGTGAAGGCGATGCTCAGGCGAATACGGTGGTGTATATTAGCATGTTCTCGGCTTATTTTAGCCGGAAATAAACAGTCATACCGGAGTCTGTTTCCCGCAGATGCTTGTTTCGATGTTCTGGTAGAGTCCAGTAATGGCAGCGCATTCGCGAATGAGCGATCTCAACAATGTGTTAACGCCACTTTTTCCGCCTTCTCTGTGAATACAGTCAGTTAACCTTAAAGACCAGCAGTTATCTTGCCTACGGGCTACGGGCCCAGCCCATGTCTATTTCTTCTTGATTTGAACTTCACATCCTCAAGCCCGGTTTGCTCCCCAACCCACTCAGCTCTCTACTAGTCTCTTCAGTTTACACCTATCATTTTACTTTCGATGAATCGCTGCGTCGTCCTCAATTTAAGCTGAACCCTCTTTCCAAGACCCCAGGTTTCTGCTACTACTGGCAAAATGTAGCTATTGCATACCTTCCTCTTGAGGGTTAATGGCAGAATGGTAAATTCATGATTTCAGAATGCAACTCATACTTATTCTTGTAGGTATTTCACTTTCATGGTTTGGCTCCGCTGTTACTACAAGTCCAACGTAGACATAATCTTTACAACTTCCAGCATCCCTTCACCTCTCGCTAATGGCCGTTTTTTGCCAACACTGTAACATATTACTTTAATTTTGTGCATAATAACTTTCAGACTTACTCTTCTGCTTTCATTGTTCCCATCAGTAATCTTGAGCTGTAATTTGTCCCGGAGTTACTCGTCAAGGCAATGTCGTCAGTGAATTGCGGGATACTAATATACTCTCCGTTTAATATTATCCCTAGTTCTTCCCAAGCTAGGGTCCTGAAAACCTCCTGTAAGCGCATAGTGAAAGCAATGGAGGGACCCTGTCTGCCTGCCTTGCACCCTTCCCTATTAGGATTCTGAAATTGTTTTTCTATTGAGAACTATGGTGGGTTTAGATCCGCTGTAAATTTCTTCCAGTACGCAAGGTTCTTCGATGCCCTATTTTGGAGTGCGTGCATCACTGATGATATCTGGACTGAGTCAAATGCCTTCCCGTATTATGTAAAGGCAATGTATTTGGGTTGGTTGGTTGTATTCTGCGCATTTCTCTGTTACCTGATTGATAGTAATAACATGGTCTATTGTGGAGTAGCCTGTTCGAAATCCTGCTTGGTTCATTGCTTGCCTGGACTGTAATGTCACGCCGATTCTATTATCTATTATATCGGTAAATAGTTTGTAGAGAACGGACAGTAAGCTGATCAGCTTGTAATTTTCAAGTCCTCGCCTTTCTTATGACCTACAATTTTGTTGGTATTCCTCGAAGATTTTCGTACCATTCCCGCCAAGAGAGACTTCGTATATTAGGTTGTCAGTTTTTCTAACACAATTTCTCTACCATCATTCAGAGGGGTTGTTGTTACCTTATCCTCCCCAGTGGCTTCGCCTCTTTGTATTCTTTTTATGCCTTTTGCTTACTTCCCTGGTCATTACTTGTAGGATATCGAATTCCTTTGGGATAATAATGCTTCATACGATATAATTCATGCTTACTCAGTTTCCTTACAGATCTCTGTAGAAGTCTTCCGCCACCACAACTACCCAGTTCACATTGGTTATGATATTGAATTCCTTGTTCCTTAATGCATACAATAAATTTTTCTCTATGCAGAAGTCTGCCTTCGCAGCTTTTAGGCTTCTGCGGCTATTTACAGCCTGCTTAATTTTCTTCGTGTTCTACCTTCTTATTCAGACAAGGTTACGCCTATCGATTCGCTTTGAAAACTCCTCTAGCTCTATTTTGTCAGTAGCATTTGAGGTTTTCTTGGTTTATGTTTTTTCAGGAGTTTTTTTCGTTTCCTGAGATAGTTTGCCAGTGTCCTGTATAGTGCCTCTATACCTCCGGCTTCCAATTCAGACTCTTTGATGATTCTAGTAAAATTATTGTTGTTTTTGTCAACGCTAGCATCAGTTAGCTCGTTTAGAGGTTCAAATATACTCTGAAGTGAAACTGAATTTCTGTACTTTTTCTCTTTTTGCTAGACCGGTTATTCTCTTTCTGCCCATAGATTAATGCCTCTGATTTTTTAAACGTAGGGGAATGCAAGCATTCACCATTTTATGGTAACTGTATCAGAATTGTCAGACAGTTTTACGTCCTGTAAATGCCTGGGTGTGCAAACAGAATGAAGTCAATTGAATTTTTTATTTTTGACATTAGGACTTTGCCACGTTCACCCATGGTTAGCCAGTTTTCTGAAGAAAGTATTTACGATCGGAAAATTACAACGTTTTGCGAACTTTACTAATAACATCCCTCTGACATTTCCAGAACAGATGCTAATTTCTGCACAGCGTGGTATGCGGCGTGTTTCTTGCCTACTTTGGCATTCAAGTCGTCCTTCGGTATACTCTCTTTTTACTTTATTAATGGCTGACTCTACGTCTTCTTTGAAGTGTTCAACCAATTGATCATCATGGTTCAATGTAGGTGCGCAGGCCTGTACCACCTTGATTATTTGTTAAACGTGACTATGACAAAACTCTTTTACTGATGCTCTAGTATTCCTATATGTTTCCAGCGATATTTTTGCAGATATATAGCCTCACGCCTAGACTTTTTTCTATCAACTAATCCACAGAAACATAAAGTGTGTTCGTTCTTGAGCATTGTATAAGCTTCACATGTACTCTTTTCTTCTGTGAGCCCTATTGCACCCTGTTTAATGCTCTCTGATTCCTCAAACAGCAAGGATGAAGTAGCTTCAGTAAATAGCATTCTAGCGTTCGAATTAGACAACTTCCGATTCCAATGGCGGCCTGTCAAGATCCAGGTATTATGAGCGCCCTCTGCTGCATCGCAAGTCTGACCACCGCTTTGAACCGTAACTTCACAGCCGCTGGGCACTGACGACCAATGGATGATTGGTACTTTCATAAGGGAAGTAGTGGTCATGTACGGCAGCAGCGTGGCCAATCCTGCTCTGGTTAGAAAGTGCATTCCTGGCAGGTGGTCGCCACTGTGGCCGCAGCTCAGACCTCTTCTTTTTTCCTCTTTATCAACTTCTTTGTTACGCGTCTTGAGTAAATAAACCATAGAGAATGATACAGCATCTGCATTTGAAGCGAATTTCGGCATTGCATGCTAGGCTCTTGTGCTATCTCCAAGTAGGGGGCTCTGGCCAACTTTATTATCACTCGTGAATACCCCCTGACAGCAGATCAACTCGATGCTTCACATGAGTCGCAGCTCGGCTGGCCTTTTCTTAACTGTTCGGAAGTCCGATTTCCACTGAAAAATAAAACCGGCACACTTTTTAGTCTTCTACCGCGAGATCTTAGGCTGGCTTAGTTCCAAGCTTAATTTTGACATTGTTGGCTTCTAAGTGTCGGCAGTGTCGGATGTTTGCTGATTTCGAGTGGTCGCACTTCTACTTTGACATTTGGTGTCAACTAACGAGCAGCACGCTCCTGTTTTGTGAACTAATTGGCTACATTTATGTGATCGTTACTATAAGCGTATACGTCGCGGGTGGTTGGAGTCATGAAAAGTTTGCGGAAAAAGCTTCTAGCTGCTAAAGAACAGATTGGCGCTGCCAATAAGGCTGCATCCTACTTTGCGTTTCGCAGTAGTTATTAAAACTCTTGTAAATCGATACAGTTGCGGTCTTCAGTCGGGAGTCAAGTATACGTACTAGTAATGGCATTTACCGCTTGCCTAACAACGCAGAATATTTGGTGAAAAGGTAAGGAGCGAATTATTTATTATTTCTAGTTCCAGAGAGCGGTTAGAGGCATGAAACTTTGTACAAAAGTAATCACAAGTTTGCATCACTCAACGCATAGCGTCAGCTTGAGTTGATTGACCCTTGCTACTACACACAACAATAAGTCCACGCGAAACGTATAGATACATAATTCTAAAAATCCTAGAATTTCTGACATTGTACTCAATATGTGACCCTGTGCAAAAAAGCACTTTGCCGACAATATGGTGCTGCCATGTGACAATGCCCCATAATTTCGCAAAATCTCATGCGTCCCGCGACGGCACTACCAAATGGCGTCCATTCTCTTTGGCATCCTCCTGTCTTTTATCCATGTCAGCCATACGCAGCCTATTCAACATAGCGGAGCCACGGTGGGAAGCGAGGCAGAACATCACTCAATTTTATTGCCCTTGCGCCACAAAACCCCATCATTCATTCAACATCGGCACTTGGCCGGTTTAAGACTGTCATCTTTCCACGACATTTGCAGCGAACTACGCAGATACGCCGCCATTTTTGTAACATAGTGCCACATCGATTCTCCCATGCTGATGCGCCTGATAAAACTTTTGGGGATTTATGAAGACAAAAAATCCAACTTTTCTGTTGTCTTTTCATAGACTCACATGCAAGCACGCGTACGAGCGCCTGAAGATGACCTTGTGCCCTAATTATTCACTTCGCGAGCAGTAAGGCACAAGGATGCAAAAGGCCTTTCTTTTAAAAACGTTTTTGCTTGCCCCTTATGTGCACAGTTTCGTGGTGAAGTTGTTTGATCGGTACGTAAAAATAGTTTTTGAAAAGATATAGTGCCTGTGTTGTGGGGTGTACAGAGTGTCCCGCGTCTGCACTGTAATAAATCATAGACGTGCACAACCTTGACACTGTGCTTATTGAACCTCAACGAAAAAAAATTAATATCGGGCAGGTAGGCAGGCCGTGTCTGACTTGCGGCGAGGTCTTCTTCGCCTAGGAAGGTAACTTTAGCAGTGAATCACCTGTGCTTTTTTTTAATACTGTAACTTTGCTAACGGCAAATAATTTTGTGTTGCAATGCGTTTTCACAAGCATCATCGTGGCTCCCGGGAACTCTATGACAAGTGTCTTCTGCATTGTGGCCAATGTCGTTATTAACATCCTCAGCAGTGGACCACTGAAAATTGTGGGCTCTGTGACGAGTGAGCTGGAGAACGCCATCGGAATGCAATGTGAGAACGTTCGCCTCATAAGATTGCTTGCTCGTAGGGCTCTTGTGTGAGAATTGAGCTATCATTCGCCGAACGAAGTAAAAGAAAACAAGAGTGGCACAGTTATGCTCCACACACGTATTAACCCAATGGATTCCAATTCGGAATGAAGCAAAACATATCTAACATTTCAAAAAGTGCGTCAACCAACGTAGGTTGGTTGCTTTGCAGTGGCGTAGCCAGGGCTCGATGCACCCCGTCCGCGTACTCCCTCTCCCCCCACCTTGTTTTTCGCCATGACACACGGAGCGTCAAGAAACGCCGCCTCCCCACTCCCAGAAAGATATTTATTTCTTCAAGCGCTCCTGGTGGGTTACGTTGCTTCGTGCCTCTTGTAAAAAGAATATTCGCTTGCCCATCAAACAGAACTCCATGAAATGTTCACCTTTGAAGCATAAGTAACAATTGCACGACCCCTTGCAGTAACTTGCTGCAATTGGAGCAGGAACGTATACATTGAGTAAGTCAATTACAACTATTACTGGTTTGATGTGTTTATATAGCTCAACATATTCAAGTTGTGTTCTAAAGAAAAGCCTGAAGTAGTGCTCGGGAAATGTCACAATATGCTTCACAGTACTCGTCTGAACATCTTTTGATGCGCCCACATGTTCCAGACGCCACAACAACGTTCCACTGCCAGAAATTTTTGTTCTTGTTTTGTACTTTGTGGCAGGAAGCGTCTATTAGCATGCACAATTACCCACTTTCCTAAGAAAAGGTTAAAATAGTCAAAGAAAATGGTTCTGTTTGCTTAAGATAAGGAATGGCCTTCTGCAGCAGTCTTTTTCTGAAAGGCCTAGCTAGAGACTTTTTCTTTTTGTTTTTTCTGATAAAGTATTTTGTTTAACATCAGCATCTCTTTTTTAGTGTTCACACGTACAAGCACAATAAAAGTAAACGGGATACAGGCTCCACCTAACATGGCACTTCATTTTCTGTGGGCTATAAATGTTCCTGGTATAGATGTTGATTTAGATGTAATAGCAACGAGTGGCTAGAAAATCTACGTGGACGTTAAGTCAATTTCAAAGTGACAATGCACCTTTCTAGAAGATTTCGCGTATGAAAGGATTAAATTTTGGTTGTTAGTTTAGACTACACTTTGCCTAAGTTTTGCATATACAGTGTATCACAACACTCCAACTCACCTGTGAAATTGCAAGCCTGGATAGAAAACGAGTATATGCAACAAAGCACAGCGTTAAGTAACAATATCCCCATTATTATTTCGCAGAACCAGGAAAAACGAACCCTTTCTGTTATGTGCACTGAGGTGTCCCACAATATACCAGCGCCATACATATACTTTGCTGACAACTTCAGTATTTAGGCAGTGACTTTGAGCTTCAATTTCTTTTTTTTTGCAATTTCGCTTAACCAACACATCTAATTTGACCAAAACAATTTACATTGCCAAAGCCGAGAACATGGCTTTAGGTCTGTAAAACGAGAACAAACTCTTCAATTCTGCTGTATGGTTGCTCTACCAGAAGAGTTCCTACAGAATCCCCCATTTTCACTATGCTCAAGTTCTCAATCAACGTCCGATAATTTATTTCTACTGCATGAAAAGCCTTCTATGTAGATTGAGTAAAGATTTATTAGAATAGGATAGAAAATTCTTTGTTTTCAACGCGTTTTGTGCCAACATGTTACATGTTGAAGAATTTGACGGCTAAAGGCTTAGCTGCCTGGCCATGGCCATACACCAAAGCAATGTCTAACATTGTTTCTAACATATCGAGAAATTATGCAAAAATAGAAAGTGGAAGAACTCAAAGAAAAAAATACGTGGCACATTATTATCCCCAACAGTTGATGACAAAAAGAAAATAACATAAATCAATGTTCTTGATATTCTTTGTTTTAAAAAATAAGTTGCAGATCACAGGGTGCTTAAAGCCTTTCTCGTGTCGCTAATGCATATGGGACAAAATGTATGACTTAACATCACGGTAAAAGACTGATGTTGACATGGCTTCAATAACATTATTTAAAACATATGTACGTTGATTCATAGAAGTAGGTATGAGGTGTTTCTGTTGGTTAGTTCCGTATTTTGATCTACAGAGCATAAGCTCGAGGTCTGTGGTTATATAGCTTTTTTGTTTTTTTATATATACTGGCGCTGTGTCGTCAAGCCATCAAAGGAAGAAGAAGAAAGTTTAAGCGGAGTTTAAAGTTAGCCAGTTTTTAGACCAGCTGGCTACCCTTTGCTGGGAGAAGGTGTGAGGGGAACAAAATATCTTAAAAAGAAATTATGCGAAGAGAGAGATAACTTGCAAAAAAAATTGCTACAGTGGAAAGGCAACATCAAAGAGTATGAGACACTAAAGTCTGTCTCTGAGGCCAGTTGTCCGAAAAAAGCGCAGCAAAGCTTTCAAAGCCTTCTGGGCTGAGGATGGGCTCGGCCAATGACTCAAAATTCTTTGTTCCGACAAAGGCCGATCGTCCAGTCTATCCAGAGCTGCAGTGAGTTATTGTCTTTGCGCGTTGAAATGAGATCACTCACACAGAAGGTGCGCGATGGTTTCTTCGCAGCTGTAGTATGTGCGTGTAGAAGATCTGGCCATTCCAATGAAATAAGAGTATGTGTTCGTGAAGGCCACTCCAAGTCACAGGCGGCTTAAAGTGTCTCCTCAGCTCGAGATATCTTTGGGGGAAGATGAAGCTGCAGATCGGGATCCAAAATATGCCGGCGCGCATTTGTGAAGTCTGTTGAGTGCCACTGTACCAGTGTGAGGTCTCGTGCAAGCGAACGAAGTCATGACTCTGCGTCGGTTATTGAGAACGGCATGTCTGTGTATTGGGTACAGTCGTGTGCAGATCTAGCGGCCTCATCTGCGCGGTCATTGCTATATATACCGCAATGACCTGGAATCCACTCACACACTATGCTGTGCTGTTTCTCGATTGCTTGGTGATGAGGAAGCCTTACTTATGATACTGACTGTTCATTTGGTCCATGGCAAAAGGGTTACATAAGACATTGAAGAGCTGCCTTCAAGTCCGAGAAGATAGACTAAGTTTCCGAAGGTTCTTCAACTATGAACTCTAGAGCTGCACGTATGGCGGTGAGTTCTGCGGCTGTCGACGACGTCAATTGCGATGTCATGAATTTATTTGTGATGTGCCTCGCGGGATTAACCACCTGCCCTGCAGAGCTTACTGAAGACACCGAGCCATCCGGGTAAACGTGAAGGCGTCCATTTTGCTTCTCTTGCACGAAGACTAATGGGCCTGTTTCAGGGCGACATGCGACGACTTTTTCTTATTTTGGATGCCAGGAATTGTAAGAATGGCTTTGCGTGGGTGTAGGCACCATAATGGTATCGGCGGCCGTGCTGCACGCGTGAAGTGCAATCGAAGCACTGCGCAATGCTGAGCTACAGTTGTGCTGAACGCTGAGTGGGACCTAGAAGTTCGAAGTAAGGTGAGGTGATGATATGGAAGCCGAGCGAAATGTCTTATGTGCATTCTCAAAGCGTCTACGTGGATGTATGCGTTCACTAGATAATCACGCACAGTGATGGCTGTCACTGCTGTAGACGTGCATCTCGGGAGACCAAGGCACATTCTCAGTGCTTGGGCTTGGATCGACTGGAGGACGCGCAAGTTTGTTCTTCGAGTCCCGCAAAGCACGGGTAAGCTGTATCGCATATAAACAAGGAACAGAACAGTGTGGAGTTGAAGCATTGCTCGTACCGATGCACCCCACGTTTTGCCAGTGAGAAACCGCAGCACGTGGGTGATCATGGTGAGCTTAGTTTTCATGTGGTCGATGAGAGGGCTCCAGGAGAGTTTAAGATCAACTATGACTTCGAGGAATTGGTGGGTCTTCACGTAGTTGATCGTGTGTCTATTGATTTTATTAACATATGGGCTCCTCGCCTTGTGCTTGAATGCTATAAGTGAGCACTTCTCTGATGACAGATCTAGTCCCCATTCTTCCAGGCACTTAGTCGCTAGTGTAGCCGCTCGCTGAAGCTCTGCACGCAAATGAAGGCGTTTTACGCCTAACGCCCAGATGCAGATGTCATCTGCATATATTGATAGATGGACAGATTCTGGAAGTGCATCAACCAGGCCGAGGAGCGCTAAAATAAAAAGTGGTGCCAGGAACACCACCTTGAGGCACACCACGACGGATGCAATGCTTCGTTGTTGTGCCATTCTCCGCCTGTACAAATAAAGCTCTGCCTCCTTTCAAATAGCTGTGGTTCCATAGGTAAACTCGACCCCCTAATCCAAAGCTTTCCATGACATCTAGAATGGCTTCATGTGATACGTTATCGTATGCACCTTTCACGTCCAAGAACAACGCGGCAGATAAGCGTTTAAGTCTGTTTTGATGCTGAACAGACGATACCATGTCTATAACTTTATCAATTGTGAACCACTGACGCCGAAAGCCCGTCATAGCATTACGGTATACCTCGTTGTGCTCCCGGAACCACTCCAGGCGAGTCAAAATCATCCTCTTCATCACTTTCCCGAAACAGCAGGAAAGCATGATGGGGCGATAAGAGGTCGAGTTCAGAGGAGATTTACCTGGTTTGAGCACAGGGACGAGGCGGCTGGAGTTCGACAATTGAGGGACAAATCCGCTGCCCCACGATTCGTTTTACACGGATAGAAGGGCCCGTCGAGCTGCTTCACCGAGGTTACAAAGAGCCATGTACGTGATCCCATCCGGACCAGGCAATGAAGATCGTTTGCATGCCGTCAAGGCCACTTGTAGTTCCTCTTGAGGGAAAAAGGTGTTCATTCTTGAATCTCTGGAGACTGGCGCGTTTTCTAGGTGACGCGTGGTGCACGCGGACGTCTGACCTGCAACATTCATGCAGAAATCTTCCGCTACTTCAACTTCGAGTGCGGCCTTGGTGAAGAGAAAGACTCTTGAAGGGGCGATGTTGATGTGGCAATATTCGTAGGCCACCAACAATCCTCCATGTCTG